ACCCTAAACTCCCACAAGTGAAAATAAGTCATTAGGTAAGTCAGAGCAGAGGACAAAGAGACATGGGCTACAAGGATGCTATGTCAGAGGTGGATCCCAGTGCAGAAAGGTAATGTAAAGAGGGCTAGTTCAACACATTCACAGAATCAGTGAGACAAATCCAATCCTTAAAACGAAGATCTCCAGGGACTAGAGAGACGGCTCAGCACTTAAGAGCACTTGCTGCTCTTGCAGAAGACTCGGGTTTGGTTCCCAGCACCCACATGGCAGTTAATAACCATCCATAACTCCAGTTCAATGGGATCTGATGTCACTTTCTGACTTCTTTGGGCATTGCATGCATAGGTGCATACATACATACATACAGACATACATACATACATGCAGGCAAAACATTCATGCACATAAAATTAAATAAATTTTAAAAACCAAGGCCTTCAATTTAAAACAATATTTATTACTGAAAAGAAGGCAAAGCACTGTGTTTAGTTTATAAACTATCAAATATTTATTAAAATGTCTATTTAAAGTATTTTCAAGTAAAAATATATACAAAACAGATATACAGAGTTAGAAACAGCCAGAAGTATAACAAATGTGCACATACATAAATACAACTGAAATATAATTCAATGCAAAGTGGAGTGACATCATATTGCACCAAAATTTATTCCATATGAAAAGACAAGCAGGAAATGTTCCCATCAGATGAAAGCACACTTATTTCATTGTGCTTTACCACTTACACAAATAGCCCATAAACACCATCTGGCAATGTGATTGCTGCACCCAAATTCTCCCCAGAGGGAAATCATTTAGCTGTAGAAGAACCCACTTTATTTCACATATCACATGTTGGTATGGCACCAGTGCCAAGGAACCCTAAGAAACATACCGCAATCCACAAATGAAAGCTCTTTAAAACTGTTCCCATTTCATCATTTAACATCTTAGCACTCTTAATACAGTTAGAATATGGAAGCAGCAAAACCATTTTGTCTGTTAAGTGTTTAAAACCACTCAATATAAGACATTGTCTGAAATTTGTGCAATCACATCACCTTTACCAAGACTCACTGTCACAATGCCAGGATGAAGAAATGCTCCCAGAGATGAGGAGATTGGAGAAGAGTAAGTATTCATCTTAGCTGCATCATTGTAATGCTGTATTTTATATCACCAGGTCAAACCCACTATGCTTTGCAATTTAGGAAATGGTTCGAGGTCATGGCAAATACATTCCAGATCCAACCTAGGGTTTAGCAGGTCTGTGAAGTATAATTTGAGCACAGATCAAAGGGACAGCTGCCAACACAGCCCTCAAGAGTAATCTGACTACCACTTTCCTACTGGGCTAAATTCATTCCATCAGTGCAAGTTACTGATGTTTGCAGAATGAAAAGAAATTTAAACACATTTATTTATAGTACCCAATATGTTAATATGAACATAGTAACATAATTAGAATTTTCTCTACCCCCTTGACCATAGGAAAATAGTTACAATTACTAGGTCAAGCATTTAGATAAAACTAAAAATGTCCACATTTTATAAAATAATTTTAGATATAATTAGAATAAAAACATATGTATGATTCACCATGAATGAATTATGAATTAGTAGCCAAAACCCTCCTTTACCAGTGCATCACTACCATGTTACCCATTCTAAAATGATAACTAAGCTCTATGAAATTTAAATTTAAATCTGTATCGAAAATATAAGACAAATTAAGTTCAGCAAGCATTCAATACAAGGGGCAATTTGTCTTGCCTTCTCTGGCATGTGCTTATTAGAGAACCACAGGCAACTGGCACAGCACTAGTAAGACATAACTATATGTTTTGTTTTTTCCTGTTTGGCACAGGCAGAAAACATAGCTGATGCTAATGCTTGCAAAGTTCCCAAATGTTGAAAAATACTACTGAAAACTCATTCCTGTTGTGCTGAAATCCATCGACAGAGACACACAAATTTGAGACCAATATCTTCATTCGAAGTAAAAAACTTTTTAAACAAAATATACAGTACTACAGTTATGGATTCCAGGAACTTTCCTAAAAGAGTGACACTCTCTGAACATGGATAATATCAAGAAGAACTCAGCTAAATTTTGATTACAGAGTTCATTTCAGTAACAAAACTCTTAAAGGAAATTGTTGGGTAACAGGCTTCTCCATGGAGAGGCTCAGACTATTTAAAAGAGTTGGAGGATTCTGGTGATTTTTGCAACAACCATTGTCATAGATGCATCCAGATATATAACTTTGTATATATACCTATTTTTCTATATAGATATAGGTAGACATATAAAAAATAGAGTTTTTTTTCTTTCAGAGCAATAAAATAGTGCTATTGTCTGGTATTTGAAATAATTAAAATGTATAGTAATTTAATGTGAATAAATTCTCATCTTTAATATACATAAATTCATTTGAAACAATGTGTTTGATTTATCTGAAGTACTTTTCTACTTCAAAGAAATATTCTATTACATTACTGAGTAAGCAAAATGAAGGAGAAACTCTAGGAAAAGATTAATTCAGCCTAGAACCAGGGAACCGCACTGCTTTGTCTCCTGGTGTGATATGATTATAGTTCTGAGCCTGCACCTAATAAGGTTCATTAGTAAGAATATGTGAGGTCCACCTTTACAAAGCACATTTTAGTCAGACCACACAAACCCAATTATAGTAGTAACATCCAAAGACCTAACACATTTTCCCACAAGATGCTGTGCAAAACACCATCGCAAGAAGTGTTCAAAATATAGTCACTGCTGCCAAAGAGATAACTGCATTAGTTTCCTCTTTCCCTTTTTGGCCTTCAGCATGGCCTTTAGTGGCTTCAATAAGAGATAACAAGGACTTAGCAAGCAGGTCTTCTAACCAATAAGTTAAGTCCTTTGAAAAATCATACTTAAAATAATTAGTAGTGTATATGCTAAGGGGAGAAAAATATGTTCATTTTTGAATGGCTGCAGCCATCCATATGGCAGTCAGAGTCCTAATGAGTCACAGTTTCTTTAAAAGGGTCATCTATAAAGCCATGCAGGCAGTTATTGATGCCATGAAAGTACACTTGATTCAAACGTGCTGAAATGCATACATGTAGCAGGTAGCTATTTGGAGACTCTAACCATCCTCTGTGCATTTTAAGGTCATTGGAAATATAGAAAAGAAAAATCCCAAGAAAATTCTCAGTAAGAAAAGCTTGGGAAGTGAGTTTTAATTTGCATTTCTTCAAATACCATCTCTGAGGCATAGTGTCAACAACTGAAAGGAGGGAGTCATTACTCTATTCAAATGAAGTAGAAGTGTTAGAAAAAATCAAGTTAGTATTGTGATGAGGTGGTAAGGAAGGACAATGTCTCATAACAATTCAAACTGGTGAACTTTCTATGAGCCCATGATTATTCATGATTTTATGAATCTGTATATCACATGAAAACAGACAAAGCAATTTTTTCAGGCACCAAATATTTTTAAAAACGAAATAAAAGGAAGAAAGAATTACTTGAAAAAACTGACTACTAAATTATCTTTCTAAAAATACATTACTAATAATCTATGGCTACCCAGAAGTCACACTTTTAGGTAGTACATACATTGAGATAGACTTTAAAAATACTGTATGGGAATATTTAGCTAAAATATATATGTAGGCAATTCTTTTACCCATATATAATGTAAACAGGCTATGCAAATGACTCATTATCTACCCTTATTTGTGTCCACTATGAGCTTCTTGCCAGTTACACAATGCCATGGTTTAGTTCCTGACTGGATGGTTAGGAAAATAAAATGTAACTCTGTAAACAGTAGCAGCACCAACACACTGCATGTATAAAGCAAAGTATATAAAACTAAGTTTCCTCATTTTCATTTGAATCTCAAATATATTTCTCTCCAAAACAAGTTACAAATAAAACCCTATTCATTGCTTTTCTGTCATTTAAAATGTGACACAATTGAAAACAAATTGAAAGTATTGTCCTCTATGTGACAGATCTTATTAAGAAGCCACCAATATTAATATATGCACTACAGTTAATGGATCACTTAAATATTTAAAATACATATTCTACAACTCTGTGTTTATTTTTAACGGAGAAAATAATGGGAGTTATTTTTATCTTATTCACAAAGGAAGTTGTGGCTATTGTAGAGCCAGAAGTGTATGCAATTTTCCTGGTCTTCTTCATAAAATACAAAATTTCTACCCAGAGTTAGTTACAGGATCTTGGAAGGAGCTTGCTTAAGGTGGAGGCACCAAAGCTTGAGCTTCATTATCTTCTCAGGATAGTCACATATGTACAACAGATAACTGTTAATGCTTTTCTGATTTTATTGCTTAACTTCTAATCACACGCTCCCTTCATTCCTGATACTCTGACCTTCAGTTGGATATCTTTTCACAGTTCACACCTCAATTACAAGAGATCAACATTAACAAAAGTCAAAGTTGTTCCCTTTCTTAGCATTTCATTCATTTCCAAATTAAGATAAAATAAGACTGCTCATGAACACTTCTGTTATGTAATTGTACTCATGTTAACCATCTGTTAATATATCAAATGACCATTGAGGAAATAATTTAACCCAGAACATAAAGTAATCTGGAAATCTATTTCTTCCTGGTACATACTTTGCTATTAGATAAACTGCAACCCATCTAATGAAACCTAGTCAGCTATGCGGCTCCATGCCTACAAGGTTGGGGATTTCCAGTATGAGTGCTCAGGCTGCAGCCTCACTCTCGGTCTCCTATCTGGAGCCGGCCATCTTTTCTAGGAGAAATCTTTAATCTCCTAAAGAAAGAAGACAGGTTCTACCTCCAGCTACCCAAATCTACCATTTATAAGTCATTTTAAATCAAAGGGGGAACCTAATGCTTCTGAAACAGGGTCAAAATAGCACTTCAAGAAAAAATTTTTTTTCTACAAATATTCAGAATTGTATAAGGAGAATCAAATTGTACTTAAGCTTTGGAAGCCTTTACAAGACCTTTAAAAGTCACAATCATATATTTGAGGTTTTAGGTATTAAGCAAAGAATATTTGAAAGTAGAATATTATTTCTCTTAAACTGTTTTGACTGAATTTGTGTGTTATAGTAATTAACTTATAGGTTGATGTAACATTCAAATACACTGGTACGATGTTTCACATGTCTTCCATTCATGCATATGTATATCAATCTAAGATATGAGAAAAGGGTTATTTCATATAAAGACACACATATACAAATGTACAGGATAGTTTCTCGGCAAGAATAAGCCTTGCACACTATCATTTTAAATAAAAACTATAACTATGAATTACTCTGAGTCTTCTTATGGTATACCCTCAAAATAAGCAGAAGGACAACTCAATCAACAGCTTTTGAAAAGAGACACTGGCTGAGGTGTTTGCTTGGTTAAAGTGGCATTATAATGGCATTACAAATTTAACAATATAAAAAACCCTTTTGAAAGGAGAGGGAGAAGAATGAAGTGCATTCTTGCTAGCCTGCACAATGATGCATTTAAAGATGCTTTAACACTGAAGATTGAGCTCAATCTGCCATGGTGGAAGGAGGACATTAGCCTCAGGGAGAACCAAGAGCTGCAGATCCTTTCCAGGATGAGTTATTCCATCTTTTATAAGAAATAGTTCAAGAAGAACCTGCTCTTTTGGATCTTATGAGTCTAGACAGTAATAGAAACATCACCTCTAACAATATATATTAGTGAAAAATATGAACAAAATGAACAGTGTATATTGGGACTAGAGACTACAAATAACATTTTGAAAAGCCTATGTCAGTAAAAAAAAGCCCCCCCCCCAGATTGTTACAAATTTACTTAGAAAACTAAACACTAGGTTTGATAAAAAACAACACTCAACCATGGGTACATACTACATGTTACTGAAAACAAAATAATTGAAATTGGTGAATTGCTCAAAATTAAAAATTATCATTTCTATTTTGGGCAATTATCTATGAACATTTAATGACTTTAATTAGCATAATTTTTGAAATTTTCTTATTTTTGAATGAAAAAAAATTAGGAGATGAAATTTACTGTGGTCGTGCTGAGCAATTCATCCTTGGATGGTACAAACAAATGTCAACAATTTTCACCATTATATTAATCTCGTTTGAAAATTCCATAGTGTTCTCTAGCACCGGCATAACAACACCCATGTGAGCACACAGCCGACAGACTCCCCTTCCAATACATTATTCTTAGTTAGCTCCTTTGCAAGTTGAATGATATCTAAGGTGAGAAAGTGATGGAAGGAGCTTAAATTCAGAAGTAGAAAAAATTTTTAAATCTGCTGTAAATCTTATTTATCAATACCGTTTCTTCCACAGTTTTTATGTCAATCTGTGTCCTTTCCTAATTGATCCAAATAGTTCACCTGGAACCATATTTTAACCAGACTGTAAAGGAAAGACACAAACTATCAAAGATCATTACCATGTAAAAACAACCTTAGAGAAAAAGAAGAGTGATCAGAGTTACTAACAATGCACATACACATAGTTATAGAGGTAAGCTTAATATTTGGGGATTTCTTATTGGCAATTTTTCCCATATTTATATCGTCATGTGAAGATTTAAGCAAGTTTATTCGTGAAGCAGTAAATTACTACAGAGGTGGTTCATAAGTGGATGTCATACCAAGCTGTACTCATTTTCCCAACCAAATGAATACTATGAAAACAAAACGACACACTGAACACAGAAGCTTCTGACAGTGAATGAAAAACATATTTAACATTATAAATTGTTAAGGATTTTCACTCAAACATAAGTCCTTGGGTTGCCTCATAAACAATAACTCTAGCAAGCCTTCTTTATGTGTTCAGGAAAATTAGGACCTAGGTATGGATGTACCTCAGTGGTAGACTGCTTGCCTAGTTTGTGCAAAGGACTGGGTTCAAGCCCCAGCAATACACACACATATATATACACATGCACACAGGCACATATACACAGAGGGACATATAGAGAGACACAGAGAGAGACACATAGAGAGACACAGACACACACACACACACACACACACACACACACACATCCAGCTTTTGTTCCAATGCTCTGGGTATAATCCATTGAATGATGAGTGATATCCAAGTTGGTTTCCAAGAGAAAGCAATACAATGTCAATGTAAAATATTTTTCCTATCCTTTTTGCCGCACTATGATTTTTTTTCATAAAAATAGAAAACATTTTTCATAGTATAGACATATACAGTAGGTAAAAGTATGTTTACAAAACCCAAATATACAGAAAACATCTTGTTCTTCAATTTAAACTTTCTCAGTCATGATAAGAAATATTGTAAAGAAGTCTTTTCCCTGGCCTGACAGGAAGGCATCAAACTCAAGAACAGTGTGAACTCATGGAATAATTTACATATTAGCTTTCTACAAGTACATGGAGTTATAACTAAGTTTCTGAGAAACTGGTTTGAATACACCAAAGAATATGAACAGAAATAACTGATTCTTTCAGTCCATCACCAAGTTGTTTCCTTGAAGTAAGATCCATCTCTGTCCTTGGGCCTATAGCCAAGATTTCGATGAATTATATTCATAATTTATTAGTCTTCTGGTACAACTTCTAGTATTATCTGTAATGTTCTTGTTATTTTGTCTACAAAGAAATGAGAAATTAAAATGCATAGAAATCAGAATTGCATTAAAATAGCAAAATATGAATTATTTGGGGTTGAATATTGAAACCACACAGCTACCAATTTTGTAGCACTCTTTCAAGAGTAATTTATTTCATTAGAATCCTATCATGCTCAATTAATTTACTTGCCATTTCTGCAACTTCCCATGATAGCTTCTCAGTAAGAATACGGTAATGTTTTGTATTCAAATAAGAACATTTATTCCTGAACCAGGAGGTTGGAAATACTTTGAGAGAGTAGGACCAAGATATAAATATATGTTTAAAAATATGCTTTGTATTTAGCTCAAAATGGGTTTGTTGACTTTGCATTTGGGAGATCACAACCAGCATTCCTCAAAAGAGTCAGGAGAAAAGTGTTTATTTCTCATATCTAATGTGCAGTACTAGTGAGAAAAATAGCCTTAGTTATCAAGACCTTGTTTGCCTCGTAGGTAGAATGAAACACTTGGACTGAGTCAGTGGTCATCAAGAGCTGGTCCCTAGAACATTAGCATGCTCCGTTATTACAAATGCATTTTTTCACGTTCAATCCTTAAGCTACTAAATTGGAAGCTGAAGGCAAGACCTAGAAAGAGATAACTCGAACAGACACTTGATAACTTATCTCAACAGTCCGAGAACCCTGCAACTCTGGTTTTAGGGACAGTCCTAATTGCTCTTTGTCATGAATCCCTACAGAAAGTCTTCCAATTTCTACCAATCCTGCAGCACCCTAGGATCCAACCCCTTAAAGTTTTCAGACTCAAATCATCTCTCTTTCAGCCTCTGCATTTCTCTTCACTGATGACTGTTACTCTAACAGGCCCTTGAAAACAATCTTTACACTAAAGCTATGTGCATCCTTTGCTGTCTGATCATTGTGGTTTGAATGCTAGATGCTTCCCCTAGGGTCATGTATTTGATCACTTGATGATTAGGCAGATTTTGGAACCTTTAGGAGGTGGAGCTTCACTGGAAGAAATAGGTTAATAGGAGTAGGCCTTGAGATTGCACAACCTGGCCCCACTTCCTACTGAGTCTCTGCCTCCTCACTGCAGATATCGTGATAAACCGCTCATGAAGCTGCTATTGTCATGCACTTCATGTTATGATGGACTGTATTCCCTCAAAACATCAGCCAGCCAAAATAAACCCTTCCTCCCTTGATTTGCTTCTTGTAAAATATTTTGTCACAGCAACAACATAAATAACTAATAAAATCATTTTTTAACTCTTCAAGTATTCATTTATTTATAAACACTAATGAACATATTTAATCAGTGTTTAGCACGCTTTAGAAACTGAGCAAGCTACTGGGGCTACAATCAAGAACAAAACAGACACAGATTGTAGGATTTACACTGCAGTGGGTCGGGATGGTTTTTGTTGAGCACTTGCTCCATGCCAGTCTCTGTACCTGGCATAGCATCCCCAAGGCATCCCCATAACCAGCCTTTGCTGTTGGCATCTTTATTATCTCCTGCACCAAATAAGGCTGACAGGAGTAATGAAGCTTGAAAGTGTGGGTGACATTGGGTACATTAATTTTGTAAAGGGTCTCATACAATACTGCCAAATGATAAACCGTATGTATTTTTTAAACTGTATTTTGTAACAGTCCACTCTACCTTGAGACAACAATTAAACCCATTTTCAGTAAGGTAAATGGGAAAATTATTCTGTAAAGGTAGGTGTTCGTGGAAAATTAAGTATCTATCAATGGTGTGGGAAATGTGGCTTTTGTAGGCGCTCAAGGAACTAAGTTATCTGATAGTAAGTTAAAAAAAAAAAAAAAAAGGAAAGACAACCAAGAGATCTCCAAGGCAACAGTGGGGTTAAAGGGACAAGTCCTCCCTGAACTGCTCTGCAGCCTCTGAGCTAATCTCCACAGAAGTGCCTTCTCACCCAGCCTCTGTCCTGCACAGCAGACATGGAAGCCTTCTCCTAAGGTGCTTTCCCACACTATGGAGCCCAGCACTTTGCCTTTGTAAACATCTTGTTTACCCATGTGAGAGCCCTACATCCATTACAAACATGTGGAAGCAAATGGGATGTCTCTGCTCTGTGTGGTTTCCCCTTCCTGAAGGCTCAATCTGGATTCTGTGCTAGCACAGCAACACAGATGTCCAAAGTGTCTCTCTTCTGGTTCTGCCCACACAGTCCTTTCTCTTCCCCCAAGTTCAACCAGCCCTGTTGACATTCTCCCCTGGCCCCTGATGCCAGAACTTAACATGATGGAATGTAATTGGCTTTTGACTTCGGCTGTAGGTAAACATGGGTGCTCCAATGTTTCCTTCTATACTATCCTACAACATTGGGGGCAGACATAGGTGCTCAACAGAGTCAAGGAAAGTTCTAACAGTGCTACAGAAGATGCAACTTTGGAGTGCCACACATGCTCGTCTATGCTCACAATAGAGTTTGTGGCTTTACAGTTATAAATCTTTAAATAAAGGTGAGCTAATGGCCTACCTTTGGAGTTTTCAGTAATTACATCTTACAGGACCTAACAGCACCACAGTACTTGCAGCTTTTCTTTTCATGTTCCCTTGTTATCCTTGAAGTACACCAGAACAATTGACTTTGCAAAATCTCATTCACACCAGCACACCTGGCTTCTGCAGGGGAGCAACAGCCAAGACCGAGTGGATTTGTGAAGCTGTGCAAAGCAACTTTATGTTCGGAATATTAGTATATTCTCCTAAACAGGGTTTTAAACTCTTTCATATGCTTGACATCTATTTATCAGAACATCTTCCGAACCCCTAAGAAATGCAGGCACGCTTAATTAATTGAAACTGTTGTTCTCTAATCCTCGTGAAAAGTATGCCAATGCATTAACTAGCTTTCAGAGACATGCCCCAAATGAAGTTATCTTGTGGGTAACATATGCTTTCAGGGCTCTAAAGGTGCGAACTTGCTGTTCACAAAGATGGATTACAGTCATTCTGTTGTTGGCCAGAGTGGTTTTTACAATCAAAGATTTTGTTTAAATCAGGCTGCCTCCCGATCTGTACCCAAACAAGAGGGACCCTCTACAGTTATTGCTCTTGCTCTCAGCGGTGACTGAGTTGAACTGATAAACAGAGACTGCCAAGTTCGGTGGCTGCTGCAAGCCCTGGCCCCAGTTCCCGAATCTAGCTACCTCTGTATTCCCCCACACATCAGGGAGGACCTGCTCTCTTTTCTTTCTTGAGATGCTCACGTAGCCGGAAATAAGTAAATAACATAACCGAACAACCAGAAGAATTAAGTTCTCTGTTAGAGATGGCAAGAGAAAGCTTCCACATATCTGACTATCCCCTTAAGAACTTGCTTTCTTTTAGTCATGGAAATGCTATCACACAAAAAGTGGCTCAACACTGGCATCCTGTGGCCAGACTTATTCATCAAATCTCTGGAAATCCCACATCCTTGAGCTGGGAACACACTCCCTGGTTGTCTGTGCCAGCAGCCTTGCAGCATTTTCAGACTGCTGCCTATTTTTACCTCCTGCTTTTCATGGAAACAGCCCAGGTACGGTATATTTTGCTAAACTGTCCTATCATTCTCCCAGGGCTAATCTATTTCCATATATTAAGGGTAAAGAAAAAAATCCTGATCACACAGATAGAGAATTTTGCCAAGCAAAACAACATATTAAATTACCAAACACACTACTCTGAGCAAGGCTCTCCTGCCTCCAAGTTCACATGGAGTTTCTTTCTTACAGAAAGTACATCTTTGGGGGAAGGGTCAGGCACTGCTGCAGGACTGGATTGTTTTGTCTGTGTATGTTTTGTTTTGGCCAAAGGCTAAGAAAATACTTGCAATTGTAGCAATAAATATTATGAATTTTCTTTATTTTACTACAAGAATACTGCCTAAGAGGAAAATCAAAGAAAATTACAGAGGATTGCTGCTCTCCCCTACTCTCTTTCAAGGAGGCTATAAAGATAAAGTTACAATGATCACAGTGCAAAGTAGAAAGGCTGTGTCCCCAGTAAGACTTAACAGCATTTTTGAGAACCAAATAACCATTCTGGGACTCCTCCGCTGCTGTTCCTCTCACAAATGGCTGACACTAAATTCAGAGGCCTCAGAGATGTTCAAAACATCATTAGAGACAAAAAAATAACAAGAACTCCAAAATTACACGAGCATGGAAAGGCAACAAAGAAGGATCAGGGAGGAAAATTGCTGGTGTGAACTGGCAACGACATGGTTGAAAGCATGTATGTGTCACCAAGAGGGGGGGAACTCTGAGCAGGCTGACAGCACAGAGAGGAATAAAATGCCTGCGGGGTGGGATAGAACAATGAGCGAGTTCCCACTCAAGGGCTGCTGGCTCTTTCTTCTTTGATATGCTTGGCTCTCCATGGTGCTCAGGCCTTTTAACTATCTGTGCGCCTGGATCTCAGAGATGGCTCCGAATCCAGCCCTAAGCTCTAGCAAGAACCCAAGCAACATTAATATGAATTTTTTTT